CCCATGCTGATCTAATGTCTGATTAAGTGTATCAAAGGCTGCACCATGAGTGACTTTGGTCTTCTCTGTGTCCATTATCTCTCTGATCAGATCATTAAAGCTTTTATACAGCTTATTAGATTCTGCCTTGATCACTCTCCTAGCTGCTTCAAAGTTGGTCTTCAAATCCCTCAAGTTGAGGCTGGTCAAGATCACACCAGTGCTAGACTGCAATTTGACGGGAAATGGATACCCTATAAGTATGTTATTTAAGGGTTTCTTGGAAGATTATGGTTTCAGAATCAAGATTTGTTAACCTACTGAGATTTGTGTTCATCTGTAGACTATGAGGACACACAATCCGACAATGGCATCTAGGTGTGTTAATTGGTATAGATTAAAATCTTTATTCGTTTTGGATCATAAGATCTAGTACTCTCGCAATCGTTTAATTGTCTTACATTTAAAAGATTATAATCCAATGTCGATATTGGGATCTCAGGTGTTGTTGTCAAGATCTCATATTATTCTATTGACGAAGGGACGGTGTTCTTAGCAGAAGTTCATCCTCAGGGATTTCAAATTGTATACCACATCTTTGGGAGTGACAAGGTTGGCTTTGGAAGCATCAAAATCTTGTTCGGCAAGAAGCGGAGCAACAATCAGATCAGGAGACATATTGATATAAACGGATTAGAGATCATGGAAAAGATATATACCTTGACATCTTGAGTGGATGATGTGCGAAAAGGAGGAGATAGATGTGCACATTTGTACCTATTGATGCACATGTTTTTCTGTGCAGTAAGGACTCTTCAATTTCCATATCTGGATTGATGACACGTCAGATCTAATTGTTAGGACATCATTGGATCTGGTTTGAAGAAAGGATTTAAAATTTGAATTTCAAATAAATTTGAACTTAAATCGAATAAATGGAGTATCAATAAATTTTAGCCCAACTAATTGATCTCACCAGTTCAACTGATCCCATCCAAATGGTGCTAATTCTAGGCTAAACCAATAAACCTCACGGAATAAGGTAATCCCATGTTTTGCCATTCAGATCTTTGCTGAGCTAATGAATCCACAATTGTGTAACAATTTTGGATGGTCCGAGCTGAACATGCTTGGATCGGACGATAGGATCTCGATTAGCCCAGAGCTATTAAGATCTTGAAATTTGTTGACTGCGATCGAGTTCTCCTTCGACGAACTTAGGAAGACTTACTGATGATGCGGAGATTAGCACCCCCATAAAAAACTTGGCTCTAATCGAGATTAGACCTGCCCGATCTCTTTCTGGGTTGCCTCAGGGCCGAGCTGGGTAAAAAGCCCAATATAAACTAAGTATACCATATATTTAGCCGCCTCTGAAGGATTAGGAAAGATCTCCACGAGATCTCTTAAATCTCGTAGAATAAGAAAGTATTCTTTATTCCGATGAGAATGCCGAAGATTCTAGAATAATAAATTTTACACTAATCTATTAAGCATATAAGTATTTAATTTCTAATAATTATAAGAATATTAATAATAGATCAGTTTTTAACTGTAAATTTAAATACTACTTTTAGTTATAAAAAATTCAGTTGAGAAAAAAATTAATAAAATCTCACGAAAAATGAAATATTTGTTTTCAACTAATGCTTTGAGTAATTTCGTAATTAGTATATTTTTATAATTAATTTTAAATAAAATTTTATTATAAAACAAAATAAAATAAATTATATGTTATTTTATAAATTTTGTATTATATTAAAAATATATGTAATATATTAATTTAATATGAATATTATATTAAATAATTAAATTAACATTTTTTAAAAACAAATGAGCTGCATCAAATAAATAAATAAAATATCATGCACCGTTTAGAAGGATTATTTTTTCTTATAAAAAATATAACTGTTAACATATATTAAACGTTTATAACTACAAATATATATTATATATTTATTTGTTTATTAAATCACAACAAATATTATCTTAAATGATTATATACAAAAGATAATAGTATTTAACTAACCTTAAGTTTAAATTTTATTTACAAAATATGATATTTTGAAATTTTAATAATTCAGTAAAGATACTATTGAGTAATCAATTTTAATTATAAACTAAATGTTTATTTTTAATTATAAAAATAGGTTGCGAAAAAAAAAAATCTTTCCAAAATTTTCAGCTTTATTAATAAAATAATTCATTATTTTAGTAACAAACATCAAGAGTCATAATTTTCCAAGCTTAAAAATAATTGTGTAATTTTTGAAATTTATGTTGACAAAATATACAATTTTGAAAATAAATATTTCAAACTCAAATGATAGTATTCCATAGTTTACAAAATATAAAATCATAGATGCTAAGGTATATATTTTTGAAATGCAGCAGGAGAAATAATATCTTGTAAAAATCAGAGTTGTATAATATTTTGAAATTAAGCTAATAAAAATAATCAAAAAACTTAATATCATAACATCCAAAAATATAATATATCAAAAATATACTAAAATAATATGATAGATGCTCTATGTATAAAATTTACTAAAATAATAGGGCTAAATTACTTAATCTGAACAATGTATTTACTTATAAAATTTCACAATATACGAGAATGCTAGTTGCTAAAGTATATTTTGAAACACAACATGGAAATATATATTATTCTAAAAATATTTTTCTATGTTTGAATAAATATATTTTAAAATGTATTGTCTATCTGATTATCTATCTGATACACTACAAAAAAGAGTTGTATTACATCATTTATTTTTAATATTTGTATCACTTATAATTGATGTAAACAAATTTTACATCACTTATAAAAATGACTCTGAAAGTGGTGATGCAAATAATTTGCATCAATTTGAAGTAAGTGATGAAAATATTAGTTAATATGTATCATTTTGAAAAAATGATGTTAACTTTTGAATCAATTAATACAACTGATGTTAATATTTGCAAAAATTATTATAATTGATGTTAAATATTTATTTCAGTTATAAATAATTGATACTAAAATTAATACTAGTTATTTTAATAATTACGTTATTATAAATATTTGATTAATAACAAATTTATTTTATTAAAAATCAAATTAATTTTTATTATTTAATTATATTTCATATAACAATAAATTATTTTCATTGTCAATTAAGATTTTGATAACAGAACTAAAACTAAAAGAATCATTATTTTCTATTATACATAAAGATTAAAACAAATAGTGATTTACAGAGAAACATAGCATTGAACAAACACTAACAACATAGATTTAACCATTTACAAAAAAAAAAAAACCATCGTTCTTGCTTGTATTTTAAGTTTCTTCGTTCCATCTTATGGACTTCAGTATTCTTCGTATCCTGACATTGAAAACAATTCAGAAAATTAAATTTACAGAAAACTGTTGCCATTATATTTACTATTGTAAAAACACACGCAAATTAATAGTGATAATTAGTTACATACCTCCATTGATTTTGAAGTTCACCATGCATGTCTTCAAGTATCTAAGCCATTAATGATTTTTTTTTTTACTGAACGTTAACCATTAATGATTGTTACAAATATGAAAACCATATATATATCACGTAACTCAGAAAAAAATATGTGAGAAAATCGAAAAACATAACATACACTACTAATATGAAAGGAGATACATCTTTGAAGTCTCAGAAGATAGAACAAAACATGATTAATCCTCAGATTCTGAAAACTATTATAAGAACTGTGTTGAGAGCACTTAATAAAGAATTGTGAATGTGAAAGAAGAAGATTTTTATCGTGTTACAAGATTATGGGTGAGATATAATAGGAGTTAAGTTAGGAGATATAACTGTATTTTTAATTAAAAAATATTTTATTTACTATTTAGCGGCATACATTTTTTTTTAGAAATAGAATTAATGAAATAAACGTGAAATTAACATGCACCAGAATTTGTTCATTGTAACATTCGTTTAGATTATTTATTTCAATTGGTTAGATATTTAAAATAAATGTGCATTTGTCAGTTATATTTTATTAATTCAAAATGTCAATTTATCCACATTACGAGAAAAACATACTATATATTAAGTGTCAATTTAGTTCAAAAAACTTACGAATTAATTACGAAAATAATAAATTTGAAAGTTAACCATTAAATTATCAAATTCTTTATTACAATCAATAACTAATATTTTAAATTTTTTAAAATATAGGATTTCATATTTTAATATTCATTTAAAATTAGGTTAGCATCATTTTATTATTTATGCGAAAATTTGCATCTTTTATTGAAATGATGTTATTTTATATCATTTTTCTAAGTGATACTAATACAAATTTATAAATGTATCAATTATTTAATTGATGTAAACTTATATTTTGCATCACTTTTTCATGAAATGTTGTAAACTAATATATTTATGCATCAGTTTCACTGAAATGATGTTAAATAAATTACTAATAACATCGTTTAATAAAACTAATGCTGAAACATATATTTTGTGTCACTTACCAATAAATAATGTAAATCTATATCATTTATTATTATTTGCAACCTGTAGAAAATTAAAAAATAAATTGAAAGAGTTTATCTATCTGATTATTTCATATTATTAATTTATTATACCTTCAAAAAGATATTAGTATGTAATAACAAAGTAAAATGTAGTAAAAAATCATTATATATTAAATTTTTGAATAAGAAACATTACCAATAAAATTATAGAGTTACACAATATATAACACTAAAACGTAAATTACATATTTGAAACATTTGCGATAAAATCAAAATTATACGTTTATAAAATAAAAAATTACTTACAAAGATGTGCAGATTAAAGTCTAGTTATTGTTAATTAAGCTACAAAAGATGAAATTTTAATACATTTGAACTAAAACAATAAACACATTTCACTATGGGTCTATGATGAAACAGAATATTAATTCCACACTTAGCGCTAGCTAGCTGTACCCACCTAAATTACTTGTTTTTTAAGATTGCATATATGGTGAGACAAGAATCCCAAGACCTACTATTAATTAATACGCTATCATTGATGTTATAAATATAATCTATAGTTGATACAATATTTAGTTTATTTGAAGAATCATTTGTGAAACTCGTGTGTATAGTCTTTTCAATAAGTGACAGCTAATGGTAGCTACGGAGAACCTAGAGGCGAGATCGAGCATGTGGAATGGCAAGTAGTTGTCTCTTAAAGATGCTTATAAAAACGACTGAATTTGTACACTTTTCTAATCAATAGAAAGATAATCATCAAGAGAGAGAGAGAGAGCATCAATGGAGAAAAAGGGAATATACAGTTTGGTGTTAATGGTAGTCTTTATGGTGGGGATGGGCTCGGATGGCATCCTCGTGGCTACTGCGAAAGATGAAGAATACGGTAACTAATCCTGTTAAGTTTCATGGGTCTCTAATTAGAAACCAATTGACAATGAGTAAATGATCCATGTTCCTTTCCTTATATGTCTTGAAACTATGTATTAATTTTTTTTTATTGTACGCAATGCAGCTCGCGTTATCTCTCCAAAAGAGTGGGATAAGCTCGTGCTCAAGTCCAAACTTCCCGTAATAGTTCTGTACACGACCATACCATGCACCAAATCCTCAGATAAACGTTATATCCAGACGTGCAGAGTGAACCAGAACGATTTGAACAGATTGGCCAAGGATTTGAAGGGGGTGACTAATGTGTATAAAATAGACATTGATGACTATCCATTGTTCAAACCAACGGCTATTAAGTACGGGATGAATGGCAAGGAGAGCGGCGCATTCATTAATGGTGGCAAGCTAGAGGGCAATTGGACGTCTTAGCCCAAGTCAGAACAATTATACTCATTCCTTTTGCATAGTACATAGGTTTGTTAGTTTTATAAACTAACTATGTGTTACTGTTAGTTTATAAATCTGCATTGCTATGTGTTTGTTAGTTTTACCTTTCTTTATTTTATATGTATCTCAATAATATGTAGGTTTTGTGTGTTTTGGTTGTTTCCTCCCTACCTAGTTATGTACTCCGTTAATGTTTTACACTGGTATTATAAGTTCTTTTGTTTTTGGGTTATTTGCAAATTGACTAAAAACATGAAGTCAACTTAAAAACTAATCTATTGTTTTTTTAGATTTTTATATTGCCTTATTTATCCTTCAAGTTCACATTATTCACGAAAATGCTACTAGTCTTTTTTTTCTTTTCGAAAATGACATTTTTACTCTATCAACCTCATTATCTTCAATTATTTACAAGATTACCATTGCCATCAATACATCAACCACCATGAACAACCAATTTGAAGCTCTTAATGCACCTCAAATCGATTTACACTTCTTCTTTCTAAATTTTTATGAACTAAAAACAACATTTCTTTCACTTTCTCTCCATATTCATCCAAAAAACCTAATATTTTGATTTTAAAATTTTTATGGTTCATAAAGCCATTAAAGCTTACGATTCTTGGTGGATCACTTTTGTTTGAAATTCTGGGTGCTTAGAGAAAACTTCTCTGTGCTAAACAAGTTATCTCACATGTTGAAACTATGAAATCAAGATTTTTCTCCAAGTAAGATGTATGGCTGTAGACGACTTCCAGGTAAGTTGTCTGGTCAATGCAGAGGTTAGTTCTGAAATTTGCTTTTAAATTTCTTTTTCTAGACGACTTACATGTAAGTCGTCTAGGGAAAACAAGTTAGTTTTGCATTTGACCGGAATGTGTCAGAAATTTGACTTTTTCTGGAGTAAGTCCAATAGAAATTAAAAAATCAATATTTTGTTATACCTAGATGACTTACATGGAAGTCGTCTCAGGTTAGTTTTGCAATTGAAATATTAACAAAAAAATATTTTGTTATACCTAGATGACTTACATGGAAGTCGTCTCAGGTTAGTTTTGCAATTGAAATATTAACAAAAAAATATTTTTTTCTAGATGACTTACACGTAAGTTGAACGACTTCCATGTAAGTTGTAGGACAGACGACTTACGTGTAAGTCATCTAGAGAAAAAAAAATTGTTTAATATTTCAATTGCCATCCTCAACTCTATCTCCAAAAATTATCGAGGATTTCGAGGGATTGATTTGTTGTCCAGACGCAGAGCCATATAACTTCAAGCAACGTAAAACCTCAACACTTTCCATCAGATCAGCTCGACAGAGCAACAAGCTATCGTCAGCGAACAGCAGGTGGTGTACTGACGGACCTCCCACTGCTAACTGAATGCCATGTAAACGCCCTTGGCTCTCGGATCTGTTAAGCACACTCACCAGAGCTTCTGCACACATGATGAAAAGGAGTGGAGAAATTGGATCACCTTGTTGTATACCACGCTCAGGCCTAATGAAGCCATGTTCCCGACCATTGAGAAGAACAATGTAAGACACAGTACTCACGCATGTCATGACCCAGCACACCCATCTTCTATCAAAGCCCATCTTCTCCATAAGAGTTTCCAAAAAATTCCATTCAACCCGATCATAAGCTTTCGACATATCGGTCTTGATAGCCATAAACTTATTGTTGATCGCATTTTTAGTTCTGAGGCCATGGACCATCTCGTGAGTAACAATTATGTTATCAGAGATGAGCCGATCTTCCACAAATGCTCCTTCCGTATCAGAGATTAAGAAGGGCATTACTGGTTTCATGCATCCAGACAGCAGTTTGGAGATGATTTTATACTAGACAGAGCACAAACTTATTGCCTTAGGTCCTTCATGGTGTCCGGTTTAGAGATCTTTGGTAAGAGACACAACTGCGTATGATTCCAACCCGTAGGGAGAGAAGATGTACGAAAAAACCTCTGTACTTCTTCAATGATCCGATCACCTACAATATGCCAATATTGTTGATAGAAGACACCCGTGATCCCATCCTCACCAGGAGAACTGCTACCTTTAATGGAAAAGGCAGATTTTTTAATTTCTTCTGCTGTAAACTCCTTTGTAAGCATTTCATTCATCTCTGCAGTGACTTTAATTTGAAAACCTTCGAACAGCGATTCGAGATCCATCGGATTTGAGCTCATGAACAGGTCTCTAAAGTATTCCACCACTATGTTACCCTTAGCTCCTTCTGAGAAAAACTCTGACCCAAGAGAATCCTTGAGCATGACAATGTGATTCCTAATTTTTCTCCCCTTAACAACATTGTGGAAATACGATGTGTTCATATCTCCTTCCCGCAGCCATTGTTCTCTGCTTCTTTGTCTCCAATACCTCTCTTCATCTCCATGATGCTTTTATTTCTCTTTACATTGTTTGATGTTAAATTTTATTCCAACCTATTTTGTTCTGGAGTGAAAATAAAGTAGCAAATAAAATTATTATTTTATTTGTAGTTTAAATCAAATTTTATCTATTATATAATGAAAAATAGAATAAGTTTGAGTATTTCTTACTCTAAACTTCAGCTTATCTGATCATTAGTTTTTACAATCTCATGATCAAAAACATGATAATTTATTTGTTTTAATTTTTAAAGAAAACTATTCTGGTTGTTAAATAAAATTGGTTGACAAAATAATCAGTTGTTCTCAATACAAATAAATTTTTGGGAAAGTTGTTTTATAGGCCAAAAAATGATAACTAAGTCTAATTAGACTAATTTCTATTTGTACCAATTTTGTCTCTAACATCCTTTAGTATTTTCAAAAATGAATTAAATAAATAGTTTATAAACAAAAAAATTGGAAAATAGTAACTACTGATGAAATACCGATATCAATTTAATGATTTTTTTTTCAATTTCTAAGAGTATTTAAATCACAATTTCAGATTATGTTCTACATAAAGTAGAAAATAAAATCTAGTTTTTTCTTTGAATCTACTACGTTTTGAATACATATTCTACGTATTAATAATAATCCAAATTTATTAGAAATACACATTCTGCTTTTAACCTATTTCTCAAAAATCAGTAGAAATCGGAATTTACATATTACTTATAAATATATAATCAATAGAAATCAAAATTTATACACTATTATAAATTTAAAATTTTGGAAAAATTGATTTTAAACATTATTATTGTATTTTACATATAGTAGAATACATATTTTACGTACAATCAAATGCGAAAATATGGCAAGAAAATATTTAAAATGTTTAATTTCCATATATGAGAAACCGATTTTTCAAGAAAAAAGTTTTTTAACAAGTGCATATTTTTATCACTTTATTTTTTTTAACAACACTTAAATTATTTATTTTTACTTTTATTTTACAACACTTTAATATTTAATGTTTTATTTATTTTAATTACTTATTTTTGTTGGTAACACTTCAATTATTTATTATATATTAATATTTAATAATTATTTTTAATTGGTAATTACGAATTTTAATTAAAATTAAGAGTTATATTACTATTTTGAAAATATTCAACCTAACAGAACATAAAGTATATGAGATTATCTAGTGCTAAATAGTTACCATTCATTTCTTTTTTTGTCTAAAAATGATGTTCCCTAACCCCATTTTTTCTCGAAAAAAGATAATAGAATAATTTGAGGATGTTTGCCCAAAAAAAAAAAAGAATAATTTGAGGATGTATGGGAAAGTAGGAATGTTCATTTGAGAAGAGTAAAAAACCCTAGAGACTCTCCTTCAACGCTATTCTCTCCTTTCTTGCGATCCGATTTTTCATTTTCGCCGTTACTTTTCCAAAGGATGAGGGGATTGGTGAACAAGCTCGTGTCCAGATCTCTCTCTGTCGCCGGGAAATGGCAGAACCAACAGCTACGCCGTCTCAACATCCACGAGTATCAGGTTCTTCCTCCTTCTTTTTGAGTACGATCTGTGTCTTTTAGTCTGTTGTGATTGATTAACCGTTAACTGATTGAAGCTAGAGATTAAACATCCGTATGAAGCGAGTTGACGAGTTTGTTCTCAATTGATTGGCTATAGGGAGCTGAGCTGATGGGTAAATACGGAGTGAATGTGCCCAAGGGAGTCGCTGTTTCTTCACTCGATGATGTTAAAAAGGCCATCGAACAAGTTTTCCCTAATGAAACCCAGGTACTTACTGTCTTGGCTGGCTTAAGAGCTTAACTTTATTGCAATCTTTACTAAAAAGAATACCTCTTTTGCTCGTGTTACAGTTGGTGGTTAAGAGCCAGATCTTGGCTGGTGGAAGAGGTCTTGGAACTTTCAAGAGTGGTCTTCAGGGTGGTGTTCACATTGTCAACCGTGATCAGGTTCAAGATATTGCTGGTATTGCTGCTGGGTTTTCTTCTTTATGCCCCTTTTTCAAGTTTTGACAGGTTTCTCTCTTTTCTTGATCCAATTCGATTTTTATCGTTTTTAGGAAAGATGCTAGGACAAGTACTCGTCACCAAACAAACTGGTTCTCAAGGCAAAGTTGTCAGCAAGGTTATTATTCTTGTGACTGCTTTGGCATTTGTATTTATTCATAATTCGTTTCTTTTTGCTCTGCTGTTAACCTTTTTATTATCTGATGGTAATTGTGAGCAGGTCTACTTGTGTGAGAAATTGTCACTTGTCAATGAGATGTACTTCTCCATTATTCTGGACCGTAAATCTGCTGGACCGGTATGCTATCCCGGATAATAAATTGATATCCATTTCTCTACTTCTTTGGAATAATCTTTTCTCACACTTTTCAGCAATCTCTGTAACGCTTTCTTTGCCTATTTCTAGTTGATAATTGCCTGTAAAAAGGGTGGCACCAGCATTGAAGATCTTGCTGAGAAGTTCCCTGACATGATCATTAAGGTTGTGACTTTTTCCATTCATATTTGATCATTATTATAATATCCTCTGTTCTGATTCTCATTTCATGGTTCTCTGTAGGTACCCATTGATGTATTTGCAGGAATTACTGATGAAGATGCTGCTAAGGTTGTCGATGGTCTGGCTCCGAAAGCTGCTGACAGGAAAGATTCGATTGAACAAGTGAAGAAGCTATATGAACTCTTCCGCAAGACTGACTGCACAATGTTGGAAGTGAGTACTCTCTCAGTGTCTTGTTTATACCCAACTCTTTTTTTTTGTTTTTGTGTATTCAATATCTTTTGTTG